GACCCACACCAGGCAAAAGAGAAGCAGCACAGCTCAAACCACATCAACAGCTGAAAACTATAAAAACAGACCACCAATGTCTCCTGTCACCTGATGACTTCACACAAACTGCTCACTTAGATTTTATTTCACCCCCTTTGTTTTGAGGGTGACATTTCTATGTAAAACAACATTATTTGGTAATTTACTATACTGTATATTAAAAAAGAGTAACAGAGGCTGTGGCCAGGTGTTAGAAGAAATTTCTTTCAGTGCTAAGTGCAAACTGCCAGCTGTGACATTTAGATTTTCTAATCTTATAGTTGAAGAACTGCAAACAAATATGTGAAAAAAGTCAGACCACATTGACCAGAAAAATACATAAAAGAGAAAATGCCAACTTCCTCTACCAACCTGCTCTTGAGATGAATCATCTATGCTCCAGCTTAGTCATCACTAATATTTTGTGTCTGCTCGTATGAATATGATGGTTAACTTACACCATTCAAAAACTCAGCCCTTTATTAAAGAAACCCTGAGCGGTGGCTCTCTGAAAGATAGTTGGATATGAGTTTATCTTAGCACTGGGTTATTTAACCCACCTTCTTTATTTATTCCTCCTGACTAGTCCGTCCTCCTTTGTGTCCAAGGTTCTTGTTTTGCTTGTTTATGTCTTTGCCAACCATCCACAAGCACAATTGGGCATGATCAGGTGTTTAGTACGTGTGTGCAATGATGACAAAGAAGGAGTGTGGAACATGGTGTAAAATGAAAACAGGAGGTTGCACAATTAGGGTGCACACACCCATGAATCAAAATCAGTGAAGCTACTTTGGACAACACAAAGACTAATATGTAGTAATGTTTTATTTGCTGATCACACAAATATAGATGTTTTTCAAAAGAGAACAAATGTATGGTGGTGTATTAGAAGTTTGGGAGGATGAAGGAGAAAAAAGAGTTTACCAGACTGAGCATAATTATATGGAGCAAATTAACAAATATTGTGATAATGAATACTTAAATAATTAAATGTAGGCAAAGATACCTAATGTGACTGTGTGCATCATGTTTTTGTCACCTGATTAGTTTCTGTTGCTCTCTGTGCTCTTTTACTAACCCAGACTTTTATACATTGAAACTGAGCTCAAATCATGTTAAACTCAGACTCTGAATTTCCAGCGTCAGAAAGCTGTGACTTGCTGTTTGTAGAGGTAACAAAATCTGAACAATGTTTCTGAAGTTGTATTTCTGTTATGGTTGAGTCCCCTCACCAAGGGGGTGTGGGAGAACAAAAAGGGAGGACTCAAGGTGCAAACCCTGGTGCTAGTGAAAAAATGGATTTTTTAAGAACGCAAAATAAAGTTACTGAGTATATGTATAGTCCATAACCCGATACAGCAGTGGTGGCTGAGTAGACCAGGATGGGCAGGCGAGAAGACCGGAGGACTGCAGGAACGAGAAGACAGGCCATGTGTAGCGCTTGCTGTCAGGTCAAAAAGGCCCAACAGCGGCTGTACTTCCTGAGGAGGCTGAGGAGGTTTGCAATGTCGCCTAGGATCCTTTGCAACTTCTACAGCTGCATCATCGAGTGCATCTTGACCAGCTGCATCACTGTCTGGTATGGCAGCACTACTGCTATAGACCACAAGCACCTGCAGAGTGGTAAAGACTGCGGAGAAGATCACCAGCACTCCACTGCCCTCTCTGCAGAGCATTTACCACCGCAGGGTGCATAGGAAAACTGCCTCCATCCTCAAAGACCCCACCCACCCCCAGCATGGACTGTTCGCCTCCCCACCCTCTGGCCGGAGGTTCAGAAGTGTGAAGTGTAGGACCTCCAGACTGAAAAACTCTTTCGTTCCCTCTGCCATCAGACTCCTAAACAGCTGAGGAGTTTATTACCAGGAAATACGTTCTTTTAGCAGCTGGTGATTGGACATAAAGCACAAACTTCAGACAGAAGAATCTAAACTAAGATCAAATCAAATTTTATTTGTATAGTGCCAAATCACAACAAAAGTCATCTCAGGACACTTTACAAAGTAAGGTCTAGACCTTACTGTTATCAATATTATTACATAGGGAAAACCCAACAAATCCCCCTTGAGCAAGCACTTGGCGACAGTGGGGAGGAAAAACTCCCTTTAACGGAAGAAACCTCCGACAGACCCCGGCTCTTGGTGGGCGGCCTTCTGCCTCGACCGGTTGGGGTGAGTGGATAGAGGAGAGAAAAGAAGAAAAGCAACAAGACACAACAATCAAACACTGATCAGGTCGATGTGGCTGGTGACTGCTCGTTAGAGACATAGTGCTCCAGGGCCAGGGCAACCTGCAGAAAGGTACAGGGAGAGAGAGAGAGGACACACTACGGGAGAGAGGAGACACAAAGTTAGTAATGTGTAATGGTGGCATATAGAAGCATAGGGAGAGAGAGGAGAGGAGAGGAGAGCAGGAGGGGAGGGGAAAGAAACTCAGAGCATCATGGGGCCCCCAGCAGCCTAGGCCTATAGCAGCATAACTAAGGGAAGGCTCAGGGTCACCTGATCCAGCCCTAACTATAAGCTTTATCAAAAAGGAACGTCTTAAGTCTAATCTTAAAGGTAGAGAGGGTGTTCGACTCCCGAACTGAGACTGGGAGTTGGTTGTATAGGAGAGGAGCTTGAGCTTATACATTATTATATTGCTGTATTTGCTGCTTAAAGTGCCTTAGATTTTGTGTTACTTATTTATCTACTTTATATTTCATTTGTATTTTGTGGCATTCATGTGGACAGCAAAGTAAGAATTTCATTGTACAGGGAAACACGTTTCCTAACTGTGCATATGACAAAATAAACACTTTGAACATAGTGATTTCAGAAATTTTCTATATAATATATTTTTCTTCTTACATGCTTTTATGATGCCTTTAGTTGCTGCTAAACAGGGACTCTCTCAAGCAGGAAGTCTAGTAGGAGGTTGTGCACCACGCCCGGGAGTAAAACAGGCGAATGCGACTCAGCTGTGTCACTGAGCCCGTGGGATGAGGGAGCAGGGGAGAGAAAGGAGGAAGAGAGGCAGGTCGGACCTGACAATTTTATTTAACATACAGTATAACCTACGTGCATGTGCCAGGATATCACACTGAGGTATTAATAGGCTGCTACCATCAGTGTCAGCTTTGTTAAGAAATGAATAACCACTTGTAGGAAGGAAAGAAGTGGCAACCTAAATTATTTTCCCTCTGTTGAAATTTATAATGCTGATATTATACTTTTTATTTCACTGCATTCATCACAAATATTTATATTTGTATTATCTCTGTTTTCTGACTCAGACATGATTTTGTCTGTACTAGTTCTAATATTTATGTGTCTATTCCACAGTATAGTAACTGAATTTGACTACAGTTTGAACCTGGTTGTCATCTGGTTGCTATATCACACCTCTGCTGCATATAACTGAAACATGCAGTCAGACTTTAATTCTTCCTTATTTCCATAACAGCTGAGCCTCACATCTAATGGATAACTGAACAATCACTGAAGCTGTAACCAGCTGATTCTACATTGGCTATCAAAACCATATCGCATCCACATCCTAAATTGCAGCTTAATCATGTTAGATTGTTATGTAGTACACTAAAAAAAACCACAAGAGGGCAGTCCGCTGCAGAAAAACTTAAAATAGTGCCCATCCAGTCTGTCCACCACACATTAGTGGTCCCCAGGTTGCTTCTTGGTCACAGTGGTAGTCCCTGGCTCACAATCAGTTGAAAACACTGCATTGGTTATATATCTCAGTCCACGATCATAATAATACTGTATTAAACCCATGAGATCCATAGCGAGTGAATGACTGGTGAGCAAATGACTGAAGATGAATGCCACAACATACCTTAAAGTTTTAGTGGGTTTTTAACTTTGGGGGCAGTATTCTGGTGAAGGTCCTTCCCTGTTCCAACATGGCAATGCTACACGAAGCTAGATCTATATAGAAACACTGTAGTTTTCTGAGTTTGGTGTTGAAGAATAGCACAGGACCACCCAGAGCTCTGCCCTGAACCCCATCCAGCACTGTGAGTACATCAGTGCCCAGCCTCATTAACACTGTTGTGCCTGAATGGGAGCAAATTCCTGCAGCCAGGTTCCACTGATCCTGTGGAAAGTTCTCTCAGAAACATGGAGGCTGATATAGTAGCATAGTTGTGCCTTGAGTTTTGACAACAATTTTTGTAAATTGTCCTTTATTTATATGTTATTCTAGGTGCACCATGCCTTACATTTCTAAACTGTTCAGCATAATAAGTAGTGCAATGCAGTTTTATGTTTTCATAGCATTATTGTGCAGCATTTTCTAAGCATATATATATATTTAGGTATTTTAAACACCTAATATCTTTAATATATTTCTGAGTTTGCCTCATTAACAAACTTGAAACCAGAGAAAATACAGTTCAGCATCTTTTCATATGTCAGCTTGTAATAAAGCACCTGAATTAGTCATGACATTAATTGTCAGTTTTATGAATAAGTAGAGGAATAGAGACAGATTTAGACCAAAGTGGACAGACTGAGACAGTGACAGACTGAGAGCGACACTATTCTTTTAAAAGGATTTACTGGAAGGCTGAGTGTTTCAGAGAAACCATCCAGATTTGCTGGTTGGACTGGAAAAGCTGGAGGGGTTGTAAACTGCCTCTCAGCGCTTGACAGGTGTGGTTAGAGATGAAAACAAAATAAGAGACAGACACAGAGAAGAGAAGGGGGGAGAGGAAGAATTGAAGCAGTGTGATTAATAACAAATTACAGGTGGAGTGAAGGTAAAGCAGTGTTCCTGCTTCCAGTGCTGACTGTGACCACCATTGTGAGTACAGACGTCAATAATGCATCCTACTACCACTTTCATCAAACCCTGGAGAGAGTGACGTGTGTGAGCCTGTATGTGTGTGTGTGTAAGCAAATGAGATTGCAAAATCTCTGGTTTGTCTTTCTATTAACAGTTGCAGAACCAAATCAAGTAGAAGAAAGTGCACATTACACAACAAGGGAAAATACAGGGAGAGAAAAAGAGATGGCCCAGGCCCTGAAGATTGAGCTCTTCGTCAAGGTAAGACCTTGTGTAATTGTGTTGTGTTACATGTTTTTTTTTTTTAAATGGACTGTAGATGTGGATAAAACTGTATACAGGCAATATCTATTTGTTTTTGTACAAAAAACATCAATAGTGTCCTTTTTAATGTTAGCTAGCTGGCTTCCTACACCTCAAAAAAGGTGACAAAACTAAATTTCCAGGTGTGCCAAGTATCTGCTTCAGTATTTTTTGCCACTTAATTAGTTATTTTTTTTGTCTGAGGCTTTTAAACATGGTATTCTATCATAGTTTGTTACAGAATGGCAGTGCCTAAAGCAATGGTGGAAAGTAACTAAGTACATTTACTGCACTGTACTATACAAGTACTATATTTAACTACAATTTTGAGGTATCTTTACTTTACTTGAGTGTTTTCATTTTGTGTTATTTTGTACTTTGACTTCATTACATTTTAGAGGCAATAAAGTACTTTTTTCTCTACTACATTTATTTGATAACTTTCATTACTTTAGTTACTAGCTGCTTTTTAGAACCAGGGCCATATTAATATAAACATGACAGTATAATCATAAGACCTTATTGATCTTTGATGAAAATTTCACAAGCTACCCAGCATTATTTCAAATTCTAGTGATATAAGCTAATAAAAACTAGCTCCACCATTACCAGTTCAACAATAAATGTGATCTACTCAATAATAAATCAGCAATTATAATCCAATAATATTATATACATTAATGTTAAATGTGCCATTCTGCAAACTTTGTACTTTTAGTACTTTGAGAATGTTTTGATGCTAATTCTTTTGTACTTTCATTTATGTAACATTTTGAATGCAGGACTTGTAACAGTATTTTTACACTGTGGTATTGGTATTTTTGCTTAGGTAAATGGACTGAGTACTTCTTCCTCCAACTAAAGACCCTTATATTCTCATATGGCAATGCTTTTGATGGCAATACTTTATACAGTTGAAACAATACAATTGCAGTGTCAGTTTTGCACTGGGCTGATGTATCATTGTGAAAACTTGTGGTGAACAGTAGGGACTGAAAAGAAGCTTGTCCAGTTTGGAAACCTGTGTCCCTCCCTTTCAAAATGCCTTGTTTCCACACAAGCCTGTGACTCAAGAATATCAGGCTGTCATGGAAAATATACTGTATGATATAGCTGAGATACCAAACCATTTAGATACATGTTTTTTTAATATGGGTGTAAAGCAGCTCGAGCCCTTCTTTTTAAATTCCTCAGCTGTTGGTTTTAGTCAAAGCAGAGCAGGCTTGACAAGAATGCAAGTGTTGGTATTTAGAGTGTGATCAGATACAGATCACTGCACTGGTAGTAGTTCCAACTTACCAGTTTGTCTTTTCAAAAACATGGCCATATTTGCTTGTACTGTTTTCACCTATTACCACAGAAAAGTGTACGTGTTCATATTGTAATGTCTGTTTGTCTGTTAGGCTAGTGTGGATGCTGAAAGTGTGGGGAACTGTCCTTTCTGTCAGAGACTCTTCATGATTCTTTGGTTAAAAGGGGTCAACTTTACCCTCAACACTGTGGACATGAAGAGGTGAGATCATCTTGTCTTTTAAAATGATAGTTGGACAAATGAAGATGTAAAACGTACGGTAAAACAATAGACAACAGCTCCCTGGGTGATGTTGTCTCAACAAAACTAAATGTCTCAGGTAAAGGTTACAGGTATTGCAGGACCGTTGCATTACCTTACATTTTATGTTCATCTTATTGTTCCCACCTCCTGTATTGGCTGTAAAGAAAAGGTTGATGTGAGTTATAAAACTCACATGACAATGTTGGTGGAGCTTCTGAGTGTTGAGGTTGAAAAGGAAATCTTTTAGTTTTTACTGCACTTCAGTGTATCATTCAACCATTAGAGTTCAGAGAGGCTGGAGCCCTTGCCAAAATGCACTGGGTGAAAGGGGTTCAACATGTACAATAATAACATGAATGGACAAATAGAATCACACTTTCATAGTATTAATTTTTGGGAGCAAAGGAGGAAACAGGTATACCTTGAGAAAACCAACACATAACACATGTAAATTTGAAAAGCACACAGAAAGGCTGCAGTTAAACAAATGACGACCCAGCTGCTCTCCATCGTACTTCACTTTAATATTAGATTAACAACGAGGAATAAAAGTACTAATCAAGAGGTGAGGGAAGTGTTATGAAAGCAGTCCTGTAAAACACAAGGAGACAGCACAGAGAAGTTAATGATGCCACTGAACCATAAAACAAGAAACTCCAAACATGGTCACCACACTTTGGCCTGAAAACATAAACAGACAGTGGGTACATATATAAAGTAAACTACAAGAACCTGTAGAGCAAATGAACCTGTTATGACCACACACCACACAAGGTGGTGTGAGAAGGTTATTCGAGAAGGCATTAAGGAATGGTGCTGTACAAGTCGATATCGTGACGATGTGCTTATCATATGTATAGCAGTCGTGAAGATGAGAAGGCAGGGTGAGACGTAGCTCCAGCAGCGGTAGATGATGGTCACAGCAGAATAGGAAGAAGGAGCTGGAGGGTCACTCACTGGCTGGTCTTGTGTAGAGAAGGTCAGGGTTGAAGAAGAGACAACGTAGTAATCCAAGAAAGGGGAGCTGTCGGCTGGCACAGGCAAGAAGAAGGCTTCAGAAAAATAAAGAGGGTTAACTAGAGTAGAATACATATGACAAAGTTAAAGAGGACCGGCACTGGTCGTCTACGTGGGAATATGCAACGAACTGGCAATGAGCTCGCAGGAAGGCAGGGTAGATATAGGACGTGGTTAATGGCAGAAAGGATAACAGGTGGCGATGATCAGGACAGCTGGCAGGAGTGTGGAGGTGAGAGAGGGCAGGTAAAACGGAGCGACCCTGACAGAACCTGTGAGAGTGATCTCATAGTTCCTGTCATCATTTCTATCTGCATGGTTCAAGTTTGGGAGTTTTGTCATTTTTATCACTTAGTTAAGCTAAAGCTTGTTTGGTTTCTGCTGTTCTGTTGCAGGGCACCTGATGTGCTGAAGGCTTTGGCTCCAGGCTCTCAGCCTCCCTTCCTCATCTACAACGATGAGGTCAAAACAGACACTAACAAGATTGAGGAGTTTCTGGAGGAGACCCTGGCCCCACCACAGTGAGTGGACAGAATCTTATTTTTATTCAAACACAAACACAGAGAATTTACATAAATGCACCAACACAGACTTTTTTTCTAACAATGGCAGGTATCCAAAATTGTGCTGTCGATACAAAGAATCCAACAATGCTGGAGAGGACATCTTCCGAAAATTCTCAGCATACATAAAGAATCCCAATCCCGGATTAAATGATAGTAGGGGAATTTGTTCAACATAAATTTAGTGAATTTAGAGTGTTTTATTTTTCATGACTGAGACTGTAAAACCTAACTGTCTTTCAGTGCTAGAGAAGAAATTTCTATCAACTCTGGTAAAGCTGAACATGTACCTAGAGACACCTCTACCTCATGAACTGGACCAGAACCCGAATATAACTGAGTCTACACGCCTCTACCTGGATGGCAACAGCCTCAGCTTAGCAGATTGCAACTTGCTTCCCAAACTCAACATTGTCAAGGTGACTTATTCCTGCATTTAATGTTTTTGCCATTATGAACAGACCACTTTTTTAAAAATATTTTACCTAAATTCCGCTGATGTATTTTTGCAAATAATTCATTCTTAAAAACCATCATCCTCCAGGTGGTGTGTAAGGAGTACCGTAACTTTTCCATCCCAGCAGAGCTGAAAGGTCTGACACGTTACCTGAATAATGCCTACAAACAGGATGAGTTTCGCCACACCTGCCCAAAAGACTCAGAGATCCTCATTGCCTACGAACCTGTGGCCAAGTACCTGAACAAATAGATTAATGGGAGAGATGAAGAAGTGTACATGAGACAAATAAAAGTAGAATGAACATGCTGAAAAAAAGAAAAACTGCCAAAACACCCATACATGATTTATATTTTGTTTGTGTCAGAATGACTCTGGATAAGGAAAATGGTTTGCAATGGCATGTTTTATAATTGGCTCTATATAAAAGGTATTGTTGATTTCATAGATTTAGTTTTAATGTTCTTGAAACTGCAAAGTGCTACTTCAAACTTGCTTAAAATTTGTATTTGCATTTTCTGCATGTACTACTGCATTCCTGGTTGTACTGATGTGCATTTCTTATTTAGTCTCTGTAAGAGTGAGACACCTCTCTAATATTAGTTATGTCTCATGGTTCATGCATGCATTATGTCAAATAATTTACTCATTGCAATTAAGTAATTACATTAAATGTGAATCAGGTGAAACAGAAAGGGTTTTTACGTTATGTTTACATATTAAAAAAGTTAAAAACAAATACCAATGGAGAGACCAGATAGACCTTTTGCTTTAACAATATCTTTTCATGATAAAGGTTTAAACTAGCAAATAATATTTTTCACCATATCAGAGGATAGAAGAACAGCATCAATGCACTCATCTTCAACCTTTTAAGCAATTCAAAGAAAATAATTAATAAGACTAAATATAAAAATTATGAAGCAAATAAGTATAAAATATCACACAATAAACTGAAACAAAAATGGCAGATTGGTCTGATTATAAAGCTGGTTTTTGGATGAGTGAATACAATTTTTGAAATTGTGTATGAGTTTGTGTGCATACCATATCTGTACTTGTAAACCTACGCCATTGCCTTTGTCTTGTAAAATTGTTTCATGAAATATTTCCATGTCTCTCCATCCCTAAAAACATGGTAATTGAATACAAGCATAGGCTAATGTATTATCATGGCACATTTAAATATACTTCTGAAGTATTTATGTTGTAAAATAAACAAAAGAGACTACAAAATTGTGTTATTTCTTTTAAACAATTCTGACTACAAGTTAAAGTCCTGCATTACAGTCAAAAGTAAATTAGTATTAACATAAAGTATAGCTAAAATATCAAAAGTAAAAGTGTTCATTATGCAGACAACATTCCCCATGTTAATGCTTTATTGTTGCTGTATTATATCACTGGATTATTATCACTGATGCATATAGGCAGCATTATTAACTGGTCAAGGTGGTGATAATTTTAACTCAAATGAACTATATTGTGATGATCCACGTCAGCCATTGGGGAGGGGTCTGGTGGCAGCAGCATGATGCAAAGGTGCATCATGGGAGTTCAGTAATTAGTTCAGAGAGCAGTTATAAAATTATTGTTAAAGTGTTCTGATGTGTTACCTTGTTGTTGTGTGTTGTCTGACGATGTTTGCTAGTTGGTTGCTGTGCTGTGTTTTGAACCGTAAGTTTGAATTGTATGTGTGAAACTGACCCTGGGGAAAATGCCATTGTTCAGCAGTTCTAAATAAATGACCGAGAAGTCAGTATTGTGTTGTGGTCATTGTGAAGGACACGCCCAAGCGCTATCCAGAGTCGTGCGGTGTATGGGGCCTGGACTAGTCGCTAAGTGCTGTCCAGAGTCATGCGGTATATGGGGCCTGGAGTAGTCACTAACCAAAATCAGCATAGGTGCTAGCACCCTGCTAGCTAGTTTAGCTGTTCCAGTATAGTTAGTCTCTCTCCTCCACGCCGGGGGTCATTACATTTGGTGTCAGAAGTGGGATATGCTATCACCGCTATGGAGAAGGACATAGGCGAGTTAGAGCGAGCAGTACTGGAAAGCAGCCTGCTAATAGAGCACCTTGGGGGACAGCCTGGGCGGAAGAAGATGGTGCCATGCAGGCCAGATGGTGCCAGCATCCCTCGATTTCCCAGCCATTCTCTGACTCCCTAGCCAGTTCGACAAGAGGACCCCGGGCACACACCGCTAGCCCGCACCCCTGCTAAGCTGCCACGATATAACGGGCTAACCCCAGTGGAGCCGTACTTGGCACAGGTCAACCTGGCAGCCTGCCATGGGGGATGGAGCTCCAGTGAAACAGCTGTTCACCTGGCGTTGGCCCTGGAGGGACCGGCTCTCCAAGTCCTCACTGATCTGTCCCCGAGAGAACAGCTAGAGCTTGCAGCAGTCACAGCTGCATTGGAGCGTCGATTCGGGAGGCGGGTCTCCACCGAGCAGAG